CATTTGAGTTTATTTTCAGGTGTGCTTCCGATAGGAACAACATGAAATACTCCGTTTAATATATCTGATACAACACTCTGATCTGGCCAGCCTTTCTCACGACATCTTTATATCGACGGAAGTGCTGACATAGGCCAGTGATATGACTAGAAACAGAGTGCAGTGTCTATCTCTACATGTAATATAGAAAATGTAGAACAAGGTCCATGTGGGACAGCAGTAGGCACGTCTTTAAGAATAGCAAATGGTTTCTTTGAATAATGTACTTGAAATGTATACATTGTTCTTCATTACTACACAGGATGAAATCGTTTTTTTATCATTTGAGGGATTTATCAGGTTTAATCTGGTAAACCTTGGTGCAAAAAAATCATACTCCATCAGAATTTTTGTATTGTGGTATACAGTAGAGTCTGATCTGAGAGAGATCACATATCACCTTGTGGACTGTAGGCCACAACCTAATCATTGTCTGAAGTTCTCAGTCTGAATCCCTCACGTAGACCCCACTCATGCTTCTAATAAATCCTCTCATCATTCTACCAAATCCCCTCATGATGAACACGGGTTTATTAAGTGCCTCCATAGTGTCCAACACTTCCCTCCTCATCCTCACCTGTGTAGGGGTCCCTACATGATAACATAGTCCCACGTAAATTACTTCTGACAGGCGGGGTATATGATGCATTTTGATATATTTTTATAATATTTATTTTATGAGAGTGAAAAATCACACATCTGAAAAATAAATGACTTCATACTTAAATCCTTTAAGTTTTTTTCGATTAAATTTCTTCGATATATAAAGTACTCAGCTAGTTATCAATGTTTTAAGTGGCGCATTTTGGATTTGTTTTATCATTCTATTTTCTTAAAAATAAAGGAAGGGGCTCTAAAATTAAATATTATCAAACTAGGAGAGCTTTGTGACATGTACAAATACGTTACTTTAATGAATAAATCTTTGTATATTTTTACTGAAATTGAATATGGTATAAGTGGAAATTTTAGCAGGACGCAAATTTAGCGATTTCTTCCTAAGACCTGGTATTCTACTTTTACGGAGAAATAATTTTAGCGATCAAAAAATTCTAACTAAAGAAGCTATTACAAATATAAAGCAATTAATTTTTAGCGATATTCAATTTAAGCGATCTTGGCACCCTCTCTAATAATGCCAAACTTAAATCCTCGCTAAGAATTCTACTTACCCGGTGTAATATTATAAAATAAATGTACCTTATTTTACTTTTGTACCCAGGTAGCACAAAACATTTTTAAAAAATTTTGTTGATGTTGTAAAAAGTTTTGTTCGTAACATTTCAAACTAAACATTTTAGAAATGATTTTAAAACATTTCCTCTTCTTTTTATAACATTTTAAAAACACTTTAGAATGTTTTCAAGAGGTTTATGATAAAATTCTTTTGGATCATTTTTCTAAAATGCTTTTGAAAAAAAAAAATCAAAGTGCGTTATTTGGAACACACTCAACACACTTTAATTTTTTTTTCAAAGTGCTTTAAGAGTGTAATTGATTTACCCTAACAGAGTACAAGAAGAATTTAAAAGGCATCTCAGCCCAAATTTTGTTTTCCACATACATAGGCGTTGGGAGCAAATTAAGACCCAATACGTATTATCGCAAGTACATCGCAGTTATCTAATTTACAACCGCTCTTTTGCGGGGGAGTCGAGAAAGCTCTAAATCTCCTTTAGATGGACATTTAGATATAACAGTGAGATATAATTAATCAACAGTACTATTTTCTATTCATATGTTTACTCTATACACATAACAAAACTTCTAAGTGTTCACTCTCATCAGCGTATTTATCTTTTTGTGCCCAATATCATTTTTAGCCGGGCTTATTGCTCAAAGAGCAATTGTCGGCTTATGTCATCCTGTTCAAGACAGGAAGTCAACCCCATTGTCGCCATTTTAAAGTTGCGTGCAAAAACATAGTTTTTACTCTCAACCGCTTTTAAGATAATACAAACGCTAAATAAAGCAACAAAAATAAAACGAAGTTTTATCTATATAAATAAACATTAGTAGTAATGACTTTGAAAACTTCAGTCCTAAGTCAAAGAACATACATGTAGTTCCTTAGCGTAAGGTTTTTTGATAGTCAGTGCTATCGTAGTTCTCTACACATACGAGGTAAAGCAGGGGAGGGAACTAGTCTGGACTGGCCTGTTTGTTTACATCCAGCTGCGGTACCAGATTAATTCCGATTCTGACAAAATCAGACCGTGGTATTAGGATTGAAAAACTCACTGTCAGAGTCTTATCATTTATATTGATAGTTTTAAAATAATTTTTTCATCAGAATATAATTCATGTAAGAAATTCATTCTACTTTGTAAATGAGCACGGCTCTCTGTACTTCTTAGTACTTTGATTTAAACTGGTTTAACTAAGGAGCAAAACGTTGACAACATGACCATTGAGGAAGGATGTAGACCAGTTGGAATGCTGATATCTGGATCATCTTCACAAAACATTTTACTCGTATTTATTTTTGTATTTATAAGTCTCAAACTGAAAGTGATATGAATCTTCGTTTTAGGGCAAGCTTTTGCTTCATAAACAGGTTAAAATAATGTTTCATGGTCTTGAAACACTTTATAAACATTTTAATCAACAATTTTAATGGTACGAAAATGGCGACAAGTTGGTACTAATAGCAGTCAAATATTTTAAACAGTTTGAATCATCCTGAAATAGGTTCACTAACATGCAAAACGCCAAATCCCTGAATCTGAACCACACTGAACATCATATATTTTGACATTTTAAAAAGAAATATCCCCCTCCACAATTTCAACGGTTTCAAAAGCCTCATGCAGTAGATATGGCAGCAGATGAAGAAATCTCATATTCTGAGGTAAATAATGTCCATGAAAAAGATGATGTCTTGCAGTAATTAGAGCGAGTGGTGGTCTTCCTCTATAAAGAAGGACACTTTGTTTAAAATCTGACGAGATACTGACATGGAATTTACGCAACTTAGAACTGAAATAAGCATCATTAACCATGAATTTAAGAATTCATTAATTGTAAAAAAAAAAGTTAGGAGTTTTCTTCAGTGTATATTGCAGTGTATATTGCAGTAAACAATATATAAAAAGATACCACAGAGTCTAAAACTTGTTTCATTTGCCCTCTCCCCACTCAGGATGGAAAGATTGAGTCGGTAATTAATTAGTGTTAGAAACTCCTCAGGAAAGTTTACTTTCACTGTTAAATACCTTTTTTCAGAAAATATGAAAAATAAATTATTTCTTCCAAGAGCTTTGAGTCAGGCCATTTTTTATGTACACGGTCGGGTCAGGGCAACCAAAAAAATATTTGAACATGGCCTAAACGTGATGACTTTCACTGTTCTATTGTCAAATTTCCTTTACTATGTAACTATATACAATAACAAGAAGATGGGGTTTATGTGAATAAGAAGCAAGAAAGAAGCAAGCTATCGCCAAAGAAATTAATGAAACGAAGAATATAAGACTCGTTGAAAGTCATAAATTCGCTTGTCGGAACAATACAGTAAAAACAATCTATCACTATGTCAAAAACTGACGGATATTTTCATTCTAATTTTAGGTCATTATATACACTCTGAGACATGAATGTTTACCGGTAGGTATTTTCCAAACATGACACACAGACAGTGAAAGGTCGACATCATGGAATCCTTGCTTGTTGTAAATACGTGTAATGCTAACTATTTTAATTGTATTTTGGAAGAATTCGAATTTAAATTAACTTCCTCTGGAAATCTATCCTTCCATACTCTCAGTTCCCTTTCCAAGGAAGAAGTTCTTTAGCATCAATTTCAGTGCTTCTTTTTTAAATCTCTTTTAGATGAGTTCGATATACCGTATATTTACTGTTGGATTCAGGACCTAAGCATGAACACAATTTTCTGAATAAATATCATGATACGATAAACATGGCACTGCAAGGCAGGATATATTTTTTCTTTGTTAATTAATGTAAACTTTAGTATTCTGGTTAAAAAAAATAATAATAAAACAATTACTCAACATATTTGTATTCAGACGTTAATAAAAGGTTGAATGACCCGACTTTTACCTTTAAATTTCAGTTAAATTTCAAATCAGATTTTCTCGATTCACAGGTTATGTGATCTACCTTATTTAAAATCGATATTATCTAATTTCCAAAAATAGCTATATTTATTTGTAATAGATTTCCAGAAATAGAGTACAGGTAAGGGACTGCAAAATACAAACCGAAAGTAAAATATAAGTGGGATATATTTCATTTGAAAAGGGATGTTTTGTTGGGACGTTTAGGAAACAGTATCGGTTGGTAGTGTTTTATAACATAATTGTGTTACATTCAAATCTTCAAAGTAGCAAATGCAAAGACAAATAAAGTATCAGTAGGTAATTGTTTTATTACATATGTTAAATTCAAATCATAAAGTTGGCAGACACAAAGATAAAATTTTTTCACCACCTAAATGTATTTATCTTCTAGAGGCATCTATTATCTTTGATCCTATCTTTCATTTTGACAAATGTTAGTATTACATGTAAGCTGTTTGTTAAATTAACCTAAGGATGATAGATTTTTTACAAAGGTAAAGCTTAGGTCGAAATTTTTTTTCTTTCTTTTCCTTTTCATTTCAGTGTAAAACACTCGTACAAAGATTTATTATTCCTAGTAATGTATTCGTACATGTTACAAAGTTCTCTATAGATTTATATCATTTAATTTTTGAGCCCTTTGAAATAGTGTAATTAAAAAAAAAATAGATAAACAAAGCAAAAACAAAGCACCATGTAAAACATTGGTCAAAAGCTTAGCACATTCCCTCTATATCGAAGAATATAAACAGAAAAACTTTTAGAATGAATTCATTTTTTTTTCAGACGTGTGCTTTTGATTCTTATTATATGTCGGGATGTATCAAATACCACCTGTCAGAAGTAATATACGTGGGACTTTGTTAGGAAGTAGGGACTCCTACAGAGGTAAGGATCAGGAGAGAAGTGATGGACATTATGGAGGTAGTGAAGAAACCTTTGTATATCATGAAGAGACTTGATAGAATGAAAAGTGGAAGTACACGTGAGGGATTCAGATTGATAACTTCTGATGAGGATTGGATGTTCTGGCCTCCAGACCACAAGGTGATATGTAATTCCTCTCAGATCAGTCTCTATCGTATCCCACAACACACTGTGATTTTGATGGAGTGTGATGATCTACCACCTGGTTTAACCAGACTTAGCCTGTTAAGCCAATCCAATAATGCAGAAACCGTTTCGTCCTGTGTAGTAATGAATGACAATATATATGTATCAAGTAAAATATTCAGAGAAAACTATATGCGATTCTTAAATAGCTATGATATTTCTACTGCTGTCCTTCATGGACCTTGTTCTACCTATTCCATACTCCAAAATGCAGATACTGACAATGCTTTCTGTTTCAAGTCACATCACTGGCAGACGTCAGCACTACCATGGATACAGAGATGTCGTGAACGGGGATGGCCGAATCAAACAGTTGTATGAGAAATATTAAGTGGAGGATTTCATGTTGTTCCGATCGGAAGCACACCTGAAAACAAACTAGAATGGAGAATTTCATTCTCTCAAGCAGAGCAAATACTTGTTTATTCAATGAATCATTGTCAGTTTTTGTGTTATGGTGTCTTCAAAATTTTTCTGAAAGTAATTAATTGTCAGCCGAATACATCCGTTCTCTGCTCATATTTCATAAAAACTATTGTCTTTTGGGTCATACAGAACAATACGTCTTTGTCCTGGACACCTGAGAACTTATTGACTTGTTTTTGGGAAAGCTTTAAATTATTGATTCACATGGTATATACTGGGGAATGTCCAAACTTTTTTATTCCACAAAACAACATGTTTAGAGTGAAAGTCACTGGTTCTGTACAAACTTCTTTATTGAGTCAGTTGTATGGTTTGTACAGTAAGGGGATATCATGTCTACTATTAAGTGAAAAAATCCGACCTTACCTCAGTATTGCTATATTAAACAAAACATTGAGAGTCCAGACAGACGAGAACAGTATTATATCTACCACTAAATTAGATATCAGCTTATTTACAGAATTATCTACATTTAATCAAGAAATTAGTCGTATTGAGGAATTTGCTGTTTACATGAAACAGATAGAGAATATGATCGGGATAAGGCTTAAATCCTATGAAAAAGTATCTTTACAATGTATCACATCAGAGGTGATACGATGTATTGCCATGTTCTTACAGTGTAGAATTAATCAAAATGAAACCCGGAATAAGGTTTTCTATATGACAAAAGTAATTACATTGCTGAGACAGTCGTGTAGGTTTGGTTGTTTATCTGACATTCTGTATCTTGCTATGTATTTCTACAGAACACGTAGATATGAAGACTCACTCAGTTTTTTACATAAAGCACATGCTAGCATGTCATTACCGTATGTTATGTATCATAATCATGTTAATGTAGAAATGTACAGGCACTACATGGAAAGGAATACCCTTGGTACTAAGATGAGAAGAGCAATATTGCAAGATATTGTCATTTTTTATCAGTACAGTTACATTGATGAATTAGTGCTAGAACAGGGAATGAGTAAGAAGCATGGTATGCATATATTACAAATCCCCCCTTTAGTGATGTTACATATGTTGTTTATACTGAATCACCACAGACTGGGTGACACAGTAAGATCACAACAATCTCTACACGATCTACAGACTCTGCTTCTCTATGATGACGGTGTTTATGTACCTCCAATCCTCAGAGATATATCGTGGCAAATACTCGGAATCTGTCAACAAATCTGTGGCGACTATTCGGGATCTCTCCGGTCTTATCGATATTCCCTACAACAAATATCATTGCACAAACTTCAGAAAGCAACATTGTTAAGGATAAACTCTCTTCCACATGATTTGACATTTTAGGAAGAAGTAAATGTTCTTGAATCTTTTGAAAAATATTATAGGACACTGTTTAGTATGCTTTCTTCATGTATATACCGTTTACACTTGGGTCTATTTGTGATGCATGTAAGTCTATGCATGTTTTATAATTATATTACGAATATTGTACATATTCTTTAAAATAATTGAGAATCCTTTTTTTAATAATTTTTTTTTAGTTTAATAATTATAAACAAATAATTTTATTTACACATATTATCATTTAAACTTTTGTTCAAGTGTTCCTCAATTTAATTGTTTTTTCCCCTCAAATTTAGATATAAAACGGATAATCTTATGTCATCGCAATGTCATCATACTGAAATTAAATGTATTTGTATAGCATTAAGTTCATTTACTTCAACTGTCAAACTGACTTTTTCCCAGTAACATGCGATTGTTCTGGTCCTGCTATGTTTGTGTGTGACGTCAGTGGGTGGGCACTAATTACATGTACCACGTGAGGCCCTCTGTATTTAGAATCTTTTAGATATTTTTAAATCTATATTAAACAATTTTATTTCACACAGATATATAAAGTAAGTGGATCATCCACGATAGTTGGTAACGTGGGGTCATCTATGGATAACGGGCTAGGTCTGTAATGCAAGTTCTCAAACTGATAAGATAACAAGCCTAAGGAAGTTCAGAAGTGCATTGAAACAAGAGAAATAAAGAGCAGAGTGAATATGGATCACTATGAACATTAGGTGTGGGCTCAAGTAACAAGATAAAGGGTGATGTTTTCGAACAATGATTAATTTTCAGAAAAATTCCAACATATAAGCATGAAAACCATGCAGAGGAATCAAACAAGAAACCCTGTATGTTCAAATGTACATTAGATAAGAAACCATCCCCTGTTGATCAGTGATATGCACCGTCAGTCCTCTGTGTAGATCAAATAGACATTGTTCAACTTTTTAGTGAGAAACCTCTCTTTAAAAATTATTATTTCTCAGAACAAGCTCATATCATTTAGTTGTTATATGGCCCTTATCCGCTGTAGTAAGAAAACCTCAGAAAGGAATAATCTTGGCAGAATCTCTAATATCTTTAAATTTAATGTCACAAGTTCAAAGGTACGTCAAAGCCAGTGAATATATAAGGTCTGAAAAATCAGTGGTTGGAGCGCTTGGATGGTACGCCGGAGGCCCTGGGTTCGATTCCGATCGAAACTTGATATTTCATTGGTCTGAAGAAGGATATGGAGATAACGAACAGTATTCAATCTCAATGTCCATTCAACAATATACAAAATAAGAGCAAATGAAATGAGTTGACTGGGATAAATCGAGTTGATATAAGAATGAACCTTTCTATAATCCACTATTATAAATTAATTTAAACATCGTCGATAACCAGAATATGTGAATTTTGAATTTAAGCCACAGTAAGTGTTTTTTTCTCTTGTCCTACAGACGTTTTTAAATAAATTCTTTTTTATACTTGCATAAAAATGGCGCGCTTATAAAAAAACACAACAAGTACCATTTAAAGTTCGAACCATTTCATGAGAAAGAACTTGATCTCCGAAGACTTCTGATGTTAGTGAAGAATGCCACATCTTTTTATATTCAACTTCAGAGTACTTGTCTAAATGATAAGAGTCCTTTTAACGAAGCAGTGCTACTGATGACTTATCTCAAGGTTCCACTTTTATTGATGCAGCTGTGGTTCATCATATCAAAAAGTCTTGATTTTAATTTATTTTGAGGAATTAATGTAGAAAATGTAAAAGTCAGAGTTGATAATATAGACTTTTGAAGAAATTTGAAAGTTCTTCTGCTCTTTATGATCAACGACTCATTTGATCCACTTCTATGCTTAATGCTGTGACACTCTTGGACTAAAGTTCCCCCTTGACAGCCCCTATTGTTAATTGTAAGGGGAGAAGAATAAAGTATTTCTCGCACTCAGTAATAAATCTTTGTAAGGTTTTTAAATGAAAATTAGGAATCCGTGAATTTAACAAAGCGAAGATCGAACTCACCTAACAATTAGTTGCCAGTTGATTAAAATAAAGAAACAATGAAATTTAATGTTGCAAAGATCTTCCTTTGAAAGAGTTTGAACTAAATTCAAATTCTTCCAAAATACAATTAAAAGATTGAGGCCTACAACAAGCAAGGAATCCATATGGACCTTTTAAAGTCATCGTGTTCTCCTTTTAATGTTTTGAAAATTTCTGAGAATTTCAGAGTGAAAATGATGGCATAGAATAATCATGACAAAAATTGTCAGTTTTCATAAAAATGATAGATTGGTTTTGCTGACAAGGTCCGTGTGTTGACCAGAGAATCTGTGTGCTCCTGATTAATTTAGAAAATCCCTGTGCACATCAGACTGAAAATAATGGCTTTAAGAATTAGTATAAAACCATATCTCAGTTTTGATACAATGATAGATTATTTTTCCTGACAAGGACATTTTATCGACAAAGAAGGACATGGAGATAACGAACAGTATTCAATGTCAAAGTCCATTTACCAATATAGAAAATAAGAGCAGAGCAAACACGGACCTCCGAAACATCAGAGGTGGGATTAGGTGCCATGGAGGAGTGAGCATCCCCTGCCGATCGGTCACACCCGCTGTGTGCTCGTTGTCATAAAAGGAAATAACGGGGAAAAAACTCCGTCGTCAATTCAGTGTATAAATAATGGACTTAAGAACTCCCAATATGACGACTTTCAACAAGTCTTATAATCTTGCTTCGTCAATTTGTTTGGCAAAAGATTGCTTCTGTTTGCTTCCCATTTAGATATTATGTAGGAATCCTCTCGCTTATGCACTCAAGCAAAAGACATACACCCTATCTTCAGATAAATATAGTATATTGCTACACAGTAGAGGAAAGTTGACAAAAGTTCAGTGAAAGGCCATAGTTAAATACACATGTAATTGTTTTGTTGTATTATCCCGACCTACTGCATTAAACGGCCGGAGTCAAAACGTTTCTAACGCCTGGTAGAAATTACTTTTTTATATATATATATATCTTTTTGAAATTTAAGTGTTTTACAAAGATAATAAATTTTTCTGACGATGTTTTTCTTAACTACCGCCTCAAGCTTAAAATCCAGAGTGGGGAGATGACAAACAAACCTAGTCCTAAAGTTTGCATTATAATAAACTTTTGTTATTAGATAAACATAAAGGTCTGTTTCTGTTGACCATTCGATTATAAAACAAGTTTTCGAATCTGTGGTATTTTTCGTCATTTTCTCTTGGAATATATAGAGTAAACTCACAAATAAAAGTTACTACTGTTAATTAATAATACTTAGCCGGGATACCTAAATATCCGGCTGAAGGAAGCATCAACCACTCCCTTCTTATATAAAACTTTTTGAGTAAATTTTGCTTCAAATGAATTCCGATATTGTTCATCTGATATAGTGATTGGATGAAACAAAGCCTTTTTTATCTTTAGAATATATACTTTTGTAGTCAAATGATTGTAATTGAATTCAGGCGGTGGTTTTTGTTGCAGTTTAATTAGATAAAACTACGAATGAAGAGAAAAAGAACAGCAGACAATACATTAAGATATGCTGTACTCTCTAAATAATACAACCACACGCTTAGTTTCGATTGCAAGAGAGTATGTGATAGATAAAAAAATATTAAAGATAAAAATATCAGAACAAGCATAGTTTCATAAGGCTACGTTGATGTAGTGTTGCCGGCTTTTTGGGAATCTGTTTTATTTTTGTTGTATGTATCTGCTATTTTATATTCATCAATGGTAATGGAGCCATTTCGCACCTGACCTATTCTTTTAATGCTCTCAGCAGGAATGCACTTTTTTGGGACCAATATCATCTCTCGAAATCTTAAAGAATTTCTTCTCGCTCTATAACTTGAAAGATAAACTTTCTGAATTGTTTCGTCAGTAAGATCTATTTCTTTAACATCTTTTCCTATGAGAGCTCGATCTATCTGCACTATTTGTCTCAACTTATTTTGAGAGCTTTTCCGGATCATTCCTGCAAAGAGCTTGATCTTGTTTAGTAACTTGGAGCAGGATATGAACTTTGACCCTTTGCGGCTCTGTGAACCTTTTCTTACATGCATCTCAAGGCTCGTATTAGAATCTGTATTTTTTGGAAAGTTCCGGAAAGGTAAAATTCGCCAGGACGAAGTAATCGAAACAAATATTTTTTTTTCGGAGTCATCTTACTCTTCAGAGTCATTGCTATCGTTAGTGATGACGTCGTTAATCTTCGAGGAATGGACGACCTCATTACTCTCTGTTTGATTTTTACTGGAGCTTCCTGTACCGACCTCATTGATAATTTCACCTTCGCCATTCAAGGTTAATTGATGTGTGCCTGTTTCATGTCTTTTTTCACTAGAATATTCTTTTGCAATATAAATATCGTTACCTGAAGAAGATTCCGTGTCGCATATCTTCCCTGAACTCATAGACCCTTGATCACATTCGAAAACGTTCCTGGCTTCTAACGAGTCTTTCCCTCCTCCATCTTCGGTGATGTCTGATAGTTTTACAGACGCTTTTGTGACAGTTTTTGTTTTGAATGTAAGGGGATCTTCGTCTTGTATTGATTCTTTAAAATCAAATTTAGCAAGATCTTGTTTGCTTTTTTGGGGAATCTTCCGGAATTGATAGCTCAGACTCAGAAGTAATTTTTCTGGTCTTCTCATTACGTATGTTAATGTTTTCAAAAATAATTTTTTTATCAAGGCTTCGAAATTTTGGTGAATATTCTCTTAAAGTGGTAGGTTCGGATCCACAGGGTAATAATATCAAAGAAAATGAGGATTCTTCCAGATGAGTGGAGTTTGCAATTGTCGGGTTACGTTTTCTAGAATCATCAGCAGATAAGCTTTCAGAAGTTGCGTGCTCCTGCAAGACTTCTTTATTTTCATTATACTGGATTTACGGTTGCTAGGTGTATCATATCAACATCTCTTTTATGTGGAATAGATGTTTGTAGTTGTCCGATAACAGAGCGATCAATGACAGATTGAAGCCTCATTTTCTTTTCTTCGGGTTCCTCCTCAGCACAACCTGTCAAGAAAATTTTTTTAAATGGATATTTCATTATACCCCCTATCGCTTGAAATA